AAAGTAATGCGCACTATTTTGGTTAGTGGTTAAGGTTGTGAATTCAAAATTAGAGGTCCTGATTTTAATTCCCATTCCCTTTTCTTACTTCTTAAATTCCATCATTCTTCCATCAGAAAAAAATTTCAAAAAAAGAAAAACATTGGGTGCTTGTTTGGAGGTAAAATGTTTTCTGAAAAAACATTTTCGACATTTTCCGCCGTTTGGCTCTTATGGCTAGTTTGGGAGCATAGGATAAAAAAGAAAAGATGAGAAAACTTAAGTTATGAAAGAAAAGAAAAGAAGAGCAAATAATGATAGTGATTTTGATGTTATTTGGGAGTTTAGAAAAGAAATAAAATGATTTTGGATATATATATATCATTAAAACTTTGTCATTAAAATTTTGTTCAGAGCTCATCTAAGGATAGAAATGATATTTTGAAAAAAAATTTGTAGGCTTTCTTCGACACCCATTCAAATCAAACCATAAATGGGCGGAAAAGTTTTCCAACTATAGCAGCATAGTGAATCCCTCAAAATCAGGTCAAATCCTTTGTTTTCTGTCATGAGTAAACCTGCAAATGAAAGAAAAGTATTCCTTCCTCTTACTTTCTTTCTTTTCCTATCAAATGCCAGCTCCCAAACTAGCTATTAATTAAGTGGAGAAAATATTTTTTGGGTAAAAAGTTTTCTTTCAAAAGGCGGAAAACAACTTACCCCAGCAAGTTACTGAAGCTATTTTCTTTTAATCGAGGGTCTCCAGGTGGAGCTCTTTCTAATTACTTCGACAAAAAAATGATCAAGGAGACACTGATCGAAAGAGATAGAGAGGTCACCAACAATGACCTCCATCTCCAGTGAAGGGACTGATCCAAGATTAGATTCCAGCGATGTAAAATTCTCCAGGTCTTTTTTTTTCCCACTCTAAAGGCACTATGCAAGTCTCTGTCCTTTGTATTTCGATCAAGGATACAGACAGTGGAAAAGAAGGGAGAGATCACCAAGGTAAACCTCCATCCCCGGTATCGGCAACAACTACGTGACTCAGGTAATACTAGGGTTAAATCTATGGTTAAATTTGGTTTTCCAATTTAGGCATTTATCGACTTTTTGTTGTGCTGCTGCAATTTCTGAGAATTACGTTACTAATTTTTCTCAAGGATTTGAGATTTTGCTTTGAAAAATCTTTAAACTTTTTTTAATCCACGGAAGCTCTTGGTATTCTGAATATTTGGCAAAATTTTGCTCTGTTCCCTTTTTCATACTGGTTGTACAATTGATTGAAAAGCCATCTTATGACCAGTTGCCTCATTCTGTAGTATCCACTCTTGAGAATTGAGCTATGATTTCAATTGTAAGATAGTGATAAGTACTACATGTATGGATTTTATTCTTTTGTTGAAAGATTAGGTGATGAGAAACTATCTTTTTTTTTTTTAGGGTAGATGAGAAGCTATCTTCAGTGTCTAAACTATTAGTATATTTGTTTATGTGCTAATGAACTTTGCTTTCGAGTTATTTTTTCCATAATGCAGCAAACGTTCCTTTCCCAATTGCGATAGTATTACTGAGAGTTGGATTAAGGGTCAATATAGACTTTAAGCTCTCTTTTTTAAATTGCTTTGTTGAACACACAAATGCATCTTAATTTATCAACTTGCAACTTGTGTTGTTTATATTCAATTGGTACAGCTACTGCTGCCAAATATCTTTTCTAATTAATGCTTGAGTGGTTAGCACGGAAGATGTATGATATTGCTCTATAAGTTGCAAAGGGTACTTTTCGTTCTCGTATATTAATTTTTTTTTAAGTTTAGGGTATTTATTTAGATGTTGTCAGCTAATTTTGGAAACTTTTTTTGGTTTCTCTATTCATTTTTAGATCATAGCAAGGACTTGTTCATGGCCCTGAAAGAGAAATGTGGTAGAGATCTAAACACCTTTGCTGCACAAATGATTCCAGTTGTATCTGGTGATATCACTTGTGATAACTTTAGAGTAAAGGACATAAATTTGGTTGATAATGGTGAGAGCTAGATATTGTGGTTAACGTGACTTAGCTGCAACAACCAACTTTGAAGAAAATCGAATGCTACCAATTATTGTTGAGCAACATAAAATATAGGCTTAAAAAGTATACTAATTGAGTTATTCTTCCAGTTATTCGTCGGTAGACATGAAGGAGAAATACATGGCAATTGAGTCAATATCGATCAGCTGTAATGATTTTCTTGTCTTATCTTGTATTGGGGTCACTTGGTAATTTTTTTTTTGAGTCACTTGGTAATTTACAAATTAACTCTAATGTTTTCATGTTTTGTGAAACACTTTGTTGTCATATCAAGGTGATATGTAAACCTTTTGTGAATGTAGTTTAGTTTCATCAACAGAAAAATCTGACTTGTAATTTCTAGTACTAGGGAATGCCACTACTTACTCGGAGTGTGAGTGGTGATTGTGTTCTATTTAAATTTAGGTTGATCACATATTTTTGTAGACCAATTTAATGTCTTATGTATGTTTATCGCACCAAGTTTAATAACTGTTTTGGAAAATGTAGCCATTAACAATGAGTGAAGAAGTAGTTCCACTTGATTGCTAAATTTGTTTTATGACATATCTATGCTGTATCCACCAATCATGCAGCAGCCTCATGCTAGGTAAACAAAAAAAAAAAAAAATTCTCCCCTTGTAGTTATTCCTTCTTTGCTTTAATTTGAATGCAAACTCAGGACCATCCTATTGATTATCAACATGTAGAATCTTTTCTTTGACTTTTCAAATCTTTTAGTTATTCTGAACCACTTGTTTTGCAGAATTAGAACAAAGAAGCCTATGAAGGTGATCATAGCTGTTAATTCAATTGTTATTCTTTAAAGGCTTGATCATTTTGTTTCATACATCTAGTTTCTTTAGAAGACAGAGATTTGAAGAAATTGCAGCAGTGAAGAAATTGAGAAGACATTTTTGTTGAATTTCAGGATTAGGCTTGAGATTTGTCTTGATTGGTGTTCTGGACTTCTGCTTCTGGTCTGTCAGCATAACTATGGAGCATATACTAGCAATTTCGATATTGTTGTTATTATAATTGTCACGACTGTCTTAGTCATATACTTGAATAGTTGAGCAACTAGCAAAATTTCTAGTGAAATGCCAAAACTAGAAAGACAGGATACGTGATGAGTACTCAGTTTTGATGTATGCAACAATTCTGGAAGAGTATTTTCTTGTACTATGACTAAGTAGTATGTCAAATAATATGTATACATACATTTTAAGTTTGCAAAAGCAAACACTTGATTCTTTGTAGCATATTTGAAATATCAGGTTTGGTGAAAGAATAGAACGCGAATGGAAATATGTGAAAAACACAGATATTCTAATTTCTTTTTTAAGGTTAAGAATGAAGCAAAATTATAATCAAATCGGAAGTAGTTGTAATTAACATAAATTCCGAAGGCAAAGAATGAAGTAAAATTATAGTCAAATGCATGGGAAGTAATTGTAATTACCATAAAGTCTGAAGTAAGGAAAGTATCTTGGAACATTTAAATCAAATACTAGAAAATGCGTTCAGAAAATATCTTCAGTAGGTTAACCAAACACAGGAAAATTATGACAATGAAATCATTTTCCTAGAAAATGACTTGCACTGACAACATTTTTCCAAGGGAAAATATTTTACGCCCAACCAAATATGCACCGTCGAAGTTATTAGGGGCGGACCCCGACTGGTTCCATCCTTGAAGATAGTAGTTAGAACTCCAAAATTGTCAAAGTGGAACGCACCAGTCAAGTCGGCTAATTTAATGCAGCATTCGCTTCTTGTCCTTGACAAGAGCTTAGAATTTGAATCAGGACTACAACTTGATGACGAAGTCATCACATGCTATGATGCTATCACAACTAGAAGGCATTAATCGCGGGATGCATGATACCAAAAGACTTAATTGACAGAGCGTAAATTGTAGTGCATTTATAGGTATAAGTTGCTAATTAACTATGTTATTTGAGCTTTATCTTGAATAGAAACTACTTAATTTTATTCTTATATTATTTTAATAGGTCAAGAGTTCAATTGGAAAGAAAATAAACAAAAAACGTGACACGAAGAAGCAATAGAAGAAGAAAATATGAAGAATAAGAGGTTTTGCAGTACTGACAGGTTTCAATATTTTGCCAATAACTTGAGGTACACAAATCAGATTGAGATGATTCTTCATTCAATTTGAAGTTGAGAGAATGTTCTACCATTCTTATGAGACATCAAAGTCTGATTCTCATGTTTTTTTAGCCAAAAGTCCAAATTACTGAAGTACAGTTGCACTGCGACGTTCATGCTATGATGACGAAGTCCAAATTACTGAAGTACAATTCTTATGATGACTACAACTTGACGACGAAGTCATCACATACTGTGAGGCTATCACAACTAGAAGACATAAATCGTGCGATGCATGATACCAACAGACTGAATAACATGCCCATTTAAGGCATATATTCTTGTTTTGTAAATGGTTATTTGATTCATTTATATGGTGTGATTCCTTCTGAATGGGTAGAGCGTCAGAATTATGTAAGCAAAATAACAAGTGACATTAGAAGACCCCCATATGACTGTTGGCTTGGAATAAATATCGAGAAGATTAAAGAAATTTCCTTTACTGTTATTCTTTTACGATGATAATTTACTGCATCAAAAACCTCTCTTCTTTTACTAAAGATAAAAAAATCAGGTTGGCTGGTTTTACAAAAAATCATTAGGATGTAACAACAACGGAAATATAAAGAGGAAATTCCCTCTAGAATATAGAATAACAGAAGGATGTCACTGTTGATAACTTTACATATAGTGGATTTTTTTTTTTTTTTTTTTTTGGGAAAAAGAGGCTGCTTATCAATTTCAAAGCCGAGGCATGCCACTGGCGCAAGGTGGTTCTTACAAATTGACATCAATCAAGGTGGAAAGACTGGAACTGAGTACTCTCAACATAACGGTCAAGTGCTTGCAGATTGAGCTACACGCACATCGGCGTGCAAATATTCTGTTGAATCTCTTCCCTTGCATTTGGAGTCAGTGTCACCCCAGAAGATCTCCTACTTGTCACAAAAGGTTCCATGAACTTTTGCAATTTTGGACAGTCTTGGATGATAAACTTTGGCGAACTTGGTAGATCAAGCATTTTCTGAGGCAATGATTCTAGCAAAGGGCAAGCTGTAATCTTCACTTCTTCCAAAGAAGAAAGGTTTGACATTGTATCAGGAAAGTGAGCCAGATCCTGGCAGTGTGCAATATTCAGCGTCTGGAGGGTTGTAAGATATCCAACTTCTGTGGGCAGCGACTGGAGTCTGTGACAGTGTATAACACTCAAATACTTTAGAGATGTGAAACCACGGATTTTCTCATTCAACCGTGAGATCAAATCACCACAATCATAGATGGTCAATGTTGTAACAGAACCAAATCCAGTTTCTGAGAGGAGAAACACAGGTTGCTGGGAAAGTTGAAATTCAAAAACAAGCAGAGTTGAGAGGGATGTCAGATTAGAAATCGAATCCAGTAGCTGCTCACTGCTGTTCCACAGAGCCAAACTCTTGAGATATGGAATTGATGGCAAGTTGATTAACTTGCTGCATCCCATCACAGTTAGAGTTTCAAGGCAAGGAAAACTTCGGTTGTACCAATTGCTTGATGATTCTTGGACTGTGCTGAAGCTTTCGATTTTATCTTTCCCGCGACATTTCCATTCAGATAAATTAGGCATATCAAAAAGTTCAAGTTGCTTTAGAGATGGGAAACTAGAAGAATCACCGTGACCATAAAATTCATCCCCTATGCTGTGAACTTCTGTCATACCTCTGTGTTGCGGAAGCCCTACCAAAGTTAAGGTATAACGAGTAAATTATTGTACCTAAAATTGCAAAATGGTAATTCCCAGGAAATATTTGGTGAGGCACACTGGCCTGCTTAAGTACCAATTTCCTAGACAGAATCACCTATATATGCACTTAATTGCACAATAACTCACTACAAATATACCTACAAATATAGCTACTAAATAGACAATAAAATAGAACACCAGAATTTAACGAGGTTCGGCTAATTTGCCTACGTCCTCGGACACTACCGACAATTTAATATTTCACTAGAAGAAATATTACAAAGAGAGAGAAGAAAGCAAGTTATTGGCTCTTGCTTGGTGTACTTGAATTGGTTTGTTTGAGAGCTATTTATAGTTCTCAAACAACCTCTCAAATGTTAAACTTAACCGATGTGGGATTTAGAAATTTAGGCCAAAGAATTCAAAGTCCTCAATTTTGGCTTGAAAAAGTCATCAATTGAGGCTTGGCTTTGAATTCAACAAATCTCCACCTTGGCATAATTTCTAATCCCACCAAAAATACAAATTTTTTTTTCCCTCAAATTCGGTGGTGTCTTCAAATGCGTTGTCAAGCGCCAATCTTCAAGTCGTGCACAACATTTATCAAATTCAAACAATGTTGGAATTTGATAGTTGTCACAACCTTCGTAAGCATATCAGCAGGATTCTCCTTGGTCTGAATCTTTTGAAGTAGTATCGTACTATCTTCCAAAATCTTCCTCACAAAATGATACCGTACGTCGATATGCTTCGTCCTTGCATGATAAACTTGGTTCTTTGCTAAATGAATAGCACTCTGACTATCACAATGAACTTTGATAGACTTCTGTCCAATTTCCAATTCATCAAGCAATCCATGAAGCCAAATTGCTTCCTTAACAGCTTCCGTAACTGCCATATACTCCGCCTCTGTAGTAGACAAAGCAACTGTTGACTGTAAGGTAGACCTCCAACTGACTGGTGCCTTAGCAAGTGTAAAAACATACCCAGTCGTTGATCGACGTGTATCTTGATCTCCTGCGTAGTCGGAATCACAATATCCAACTACGCCTTGACCAATCTTCTCATCCCGCTCAAATACTAATCCAACATCTACGGTGTTCAAAATATACCGTAAAATCCATTTCACAGCTTGCCAATGCTCCTTGCCAGGATCATGCATGTACCTGCTCACAACTCCAACTGCTTGTGAAATGTCGGGCCTTGTACACACCATAGCATACATCAAGCTACCCACCGCATTTGCATACGGTACCTTTGCCATATATTCTCGTTCTGCATCATTCTTTGGAGATAACGATGCACTAAACTTGAAATGAGGAGCAAGTGGAGTACTAACAGGTTTAGTCTTTTCATTCATACCAAACCTCTTTAATACTTTACTAAGATACTCTTTCTGTGTCAAATAAAGCCTCCCCAATCTTCTATCTCTACTTATCTCCATGCCGAGAATTTTCTTGGCTTCGCCGAGATCCTTCATTTCAAACTCCCGACTCAAATGAGATTTCAATTTTTCAATCTCACCTTGATCCTTGGAAGCTATCAACATATCATCAACATAAAGAAGAAGATATATGTAGGATCCATCTCGTAGCTTGCGCAAATATACACAATCATCATATTTGCTTCTTGTGTACCTTTGCCCCATCATAAACTTGTCAAATCGCTTATACCACTGTCTTGGAGACTGCTTCAATCCATACAACGATTTGTCAAGCTTGCATACCATCTTTTCTTTACCAGCAACTTTGAATCCTTCTGGCTGAGTCATGTAGATTTCCTCTTCCAAGTCACCATGTAAAAACGCAGTTTTTACATCTAATTGGACAAGTTCCAGATCCAATTGTGCTACCAAAGCCAATAAAATTCTGATGGAGGAATGTTTCACGACTGGAGAAAACACTTCGTTGTAATCAATTCCCTCCTTCTGAGCGTAGCCTTTAGCCACCAATCTTGCTTTGTAGCGAACACCAGACTTGTCAGGAAATCCTTCCTTCTTTGCATATACCCACTTGCATCCGATTGCCTTCTTTCCCTTTGGAAGACTGGTTAGCCTCCATGTTTGATTCTTATGAAGGGAATGTACTTCTTCATCCATTGCAATCCTCCACTTTTCTTTATCCGAACTTTGAGCTGCTTCATTGAAAGTGACAGGAATATCAACATTTATGGTTGGGGATGCATAGGCCACTATATCAGCAAAACGAGCAGGTTTTCTGATTGTCCTCTTTGGCCTACTGGTTGCAATTGATTCATGTTGCTGTGAAAGTTCTTCAACTGGAACATTTTCTTCAGTTGATTCTTCTTCTACCATAGGAGTCCTTTCATCTACTCCGATATCCACTGCTGGTCTGATAATGCTTCTTTCAAACTCCATCTGCTTAGGAGTGCTCTCCACCTGTTGGGGAGTACTATCATTCTGCTGTACATCTACCTTTGTTAACATGGTAGATTCATCAAAGGTGACATCCCTGCTGAAAACTATCTTTTTCGTTTCGGGACACCAAAGGCGATAACCTTTAATGCCTGTTGTGATCCCCATAAAGAGTGCCTTCTTCGCCCTTGGATCCAACTTTGATTCTTTAACATGATAATATGCAGTAGAACCAAACACATGTAAGGAATCATAATCTGTAGCAGGTTTTCCCGACCATTTCTCTAATGGCGTTTTGCCGCCAATAGCAGTTGATGGTAAGCGATTAACGAGGTGATTTGCATATGCTAAAGCCTCAGCCCAAAATTGTCTGCCCAACTCAGCATTGGACAACATACACCGAACTTTCTCCACCAATGTCCGGTTCATACGCTCTGCCACCCCGTTTTGCTGTGGTGTATCTCTGACTGTGAAGTGCCGAACAATGCCTTCATTTTCACAGACCTCCATGAACGGATCACTAGTGTATTCACCTCCGTTGTCTGTTCGAAGGCGTTTGATCTTTCTTTCTGTTTGAGTTTCCACCATCTTTTTCCACTTGATGAAAATTCCCAATACTTCACTTTTCGCCTTCATAGTATACACCCATACTCTTCGAGAGAAGTCATCGACAAAGGTAACAAAATAATTCTTGCCTCCCAAAGAAGTTGTTTTGGAAGGTCCCCACACATCAGAGTGCACATAATCCAAAATACCCTTGGTATCGTGAATTGCAGTGCCAAATTTTACCCTTGTCTGCTTTCCTTTGACACAATGCTCGCAAAAATCTAACTTGCAAACACTGGCTCCTTTTAATAGTCCTTGATTCATCAGAAGATTCAAAGATTTTTCTCCGGCATGCCCTAAGCGCATATGCCATAATCTGGTTACTTTCAATTCTCGATCATCACTGGAAGCCACGGCCGCTACTCCAACAACTGCATTACCTTGATAGTAATACAAGTTATTATTTTTCCGGATTCCTTTCACCAGCACCAATGCACCTGAAATGATTTTCATCACTCCATTATATGCCGACACCTTGTAGCCCATTGATTCTAGTACTCCCACAGAAATGAGGTTCTTTTTCAATTCTGGCAATATCGGACATCAGTTAGAATCTTAATTGATCCATCCTGATTCCTCAGCCGAATTGAACCAACCCCATTTGTTGCTAATGTGGTCTCATCTGCCGTGTAAACGACTCCACCTTCTTTTTCCTTGAAATCAAAGAACCATTCTCTATTGGACGTCATATGATGGCTACAACCTGAGTCCAATAGCCATGTACTAGAATGACCAGTAGGCATGACAGCTAATGAAAAATCTGAGTTTTGATCAATGCACTCAGATACATTTGAATCCGCAACAGCTTTTTCTTTGTCAGGTCTACCCTTCAGTTTTGGACAGTCCTTCTTCCAGTGCCCTTTCTCTCTGCAAAAGGCACACTCATCTTTACTTAGTCTGGCTCTTGACTTGGATCTTCTTCTCGTCCCCTTTCTCTGGTTTTGTGAGCGTCCTCTAGTTACCAGAGCTTCTGCTGCTCCATCTCTGCTATTTTGCTTGTCTTTTCTTCTGAGCTCATAGCTGTACAGGGCAGAGCTAACTTCACTGAGGGACACCTCAGCTTTCCCATGGAGTAGAGTTGTTTCAAGATGCTCAAACTCCTCAGGAAGAGATCCCAACAACATGAGAGCCAAATCTTCGTCTTCAAATGTCACATCTAAATTCATCAGATCAGTGATTAACTGATTGAAATTAGTGATGTGATCACTTAGAGTTGTGCCAGGAACATAAGTGAAGCGAAATAAACGCTTCTTCATGTTGAGCCTGTTCTGACAATTTTTCTTCAAGAACTTCTCCTCCAATCCAGTCCATAATTTATTTGCAGAGGTTTCTTTTGAGAACACATATTTTTGTTCCCTTGAAAGACACGATCGAATTGTACCACACGCTAAACGATTTAGCGTCCTCCATTCCTTCTCTTCAATCTCTTCTGGTTTCTCTTTTTCGATGGCAATGTCTAGACCTTGATTAAAGAGCGCGTCTAGAATCTCACTTTGCCACATGCCGAAATGACCGGTACCATCAAATGTCTCCACATTTAATTTTGTATTCGTCATAACATTTCTCGCCATAATAGATAATGACGAGCTTGTTGATGCTTGCATTGTAGATGAAGATCTACTTTCGGCCATCTCTACAAATTATATTTAGTAGCTCCTAAATGTAGAGTAACAATAGCCCAAGAAATCTTTTCTGATGTGGAAGATCAGACCATGCTGCAACCACAGAGCATACTAAGAAACCTCGAGCTCTGATACCAATTGTTGCGGAAGCCCTACCAAAGTTAAGGTATAACGAGTAAATTATTGTACCTAAAATTGCAAAATGGTAATTCCCAGGAAATATTTGGTGAGGCACACTGGCCTGCTTAAGTACCAATTTCCTAGACAGAATCACCTATATATGCACTTAATTGCACAATAACTCACTACAAATATACCTACAAATATAGCTACTAAATAGACAATAAAATAGAACACCAGAATTTAACGAGGTTCGGCTAATTTGCCTACGTCCTCGGACACTACCGACAATTTAATATTTCACTAGAAGAAATATTACAAAGAGAGAGAAGAAAGCAAGTTATTGGCTCTTGCTTGGTGTACTTGAATTGGTTTGTTTGAGAGCTATTTATAGTTCTCAAACAACCTCTCAAATGTTAAACTTAACCGATGTGGGATTTAGAAACTTAGGCCAAAGAATTCAAAGTCCTCAATTTTGGCTTGAAAAAGTCATCAATTGAGGCTTGGCTTTGAATTCAACACTCTGATGCTTAGATCGTTTAGGTATGGGAGATCTCCAAGGGGTGGAAGCTTTCTGCAACTACAATTAGCCAGCGAAAGTTTCACCAAATTAGGCAAGTATTGGTTCCTCAGCCAAGATGGGGATGTCAACCCTTTGTATCCTGTTATTTCCAAAACTTTCAAGTGAGGGGTTGGCCTGAGTTTCTCCAATATGTCATCCAAAACTGAAGTGACAGAATCTGTGTCTTCACCCCATGATAATGCCAAGGAGATAATGCCAGCCTTCTCGTGGAGTTTTGCTTCAGAAGCATCTTCTGCACATTTAACAAACTTGAGATTCTTGATCTCTAATCTTTCTCTTAGTTCCAAGCTCCGCAACTCACACAGGCCAGCGGAGCCATCCATGTTATTCACTAGAAATACGGGTAACCTTTGCAGAAACTCGAGTTTCCCTATCCCCCGAGGGATATGGATTAACAAAGGACAGGATTGGAAATCAAGATTCCTGAGGTTTGTTAACTCACAAATAGCTCTTGGTAGTTCTTGGAAATCATAGCACTCTACTAATTCCAGTGTCTGCAAGTTCCTTAGGTTACTGATCGACTCTGGCAATGTTTTGATGTGAGTGTGAGAAAGATTCAGGTACCTAAGATGCTTCAAATTACCGATGGCTTTTGACAGTTTTCGAATGCCACTCTCACTTAAATCCAACACTCTTAAGCAGACAAGGTTTTGGAGCAGTTGAGGATTAGAGTCCAACTTACAAGATAATAAAAGCAGTGTCCGTAGGTTGGTGGCTTCATTCAGTGATTCAAGGACAGTTGATGTTTTAGATTTTCCAACTAAAGAGGAATGTCGAAGTTCTTTGGACACAACCTGCGAATTTCCAGTTTCTAAAATTGAGCACCCAACGCTGGCAACGGACTGGGCAAGATCATGCACTAGATCATGCATTCTGCAATCTCGGATTTCCCCAAATTCATCTCTGGTTATCTGTACAAAAAATGATCGCTCTATTAACTCCATGAAGTACCCGTTTGCAGCATCCTCTGGCCTTCTGCTTCCCTTTCCTGATCTGACAAAACCTTCAGCAATCCACAACTGGATCAGCTTCTCTCTATAGATCTTATGATTTTTTGGAAATATGGAACAATAAGCAAAACATTGCTTCAGATGTGACGGTAGATGATTATAGCTCAGCCTTAAAACAGAGAAAAAATGATTCTCCAATTCAGGTAAATTCCCCCTGTTTTCTTCCATGAAGAAAAGCCACTCACGAGCTTTCTCTTTGGATCCCATTAGACCGGCCAAGCTCTTGATTGCAAGAGGCAATCCTCCACATCTTTGAACAATTCTTCGTCCAATCTCTTCCAATTCAATATTTTCTCTATTGTGAATGGATTTAAATGCAAACTTCCTGAAAAGACTCCAGGAATCTTCTTCATCCAGAGGTCCTAGGTAGTAAGGCAGGACCGTGCCACTGAGTCTTGCAACCATGGTATTTCTTGTGGTGATTACGACTGCTGATTCAAGATGTGCTGCTCCAAGAAATCCCCGAGACATCATGGACCATTTCAAGCTATCTTCATTCCAAACATCATCCAAGACAAGCAGGATTCTTTTTCCTGATATGCTATGACGAAGGGTCTCTTGTAGAACCTCCAAGTTGGAAAGATTTTTGGCCTCATGATTTATCTGTTCAATTATAGCCTTGGCAATTTTTATGAGGTCGAAATCCTCACCAACTGAGACCCACATTTTGCGGTCAAAGTGATCTGATGCTCTAAAATCGTTGTATATTAGCTGTGCAAGAGTCGTCTTACCAACTCCCCCCATGCCGACTATAGGAATCACTGTGAGTTGATTCTCATAACTAGGCTTGAACAGGACGGACAAGATGTTTTCTTTGTCGAATTCCCTTCCAACGACATCAGAATCAATCATGAACGAACTTGAGACGCGGTGAACACCTTGAGCATGAGCGGAATGACTTTCTTCCACTGGTCCTTTTGGAGTGCAAGCATCAATGATCCTTTTGAACTCCGCACTCCTCTTCAGAAGTGAATCCAGATTTTTTTCTATCTTTTCCAGCTTGCCGCCTAGCCTGATGCCAAATATGAGATGCTTGATGAAGAACGAAAGCAAGAAAGTACCACGAGCCTTGTGCCTTTTCGTCCAAAGATCGTATTCATCGAAAAGGTCATCAGCTTCATATGCGGCGTTCTTGATTTCAGTTATCCAGCACTTGAGTGCTTCATTATCCTCGGAATGCATCTCTGCTTCCTGGACCAATGTTTGAACCCGTGCCAAAGTGAGGCGCAGCTTTCTTAAAATCTCACTGTTGGGAAGTCCCGCCAGCGTGTATAGCCTGTCAGACAGAAGCTGGAGAAGAGGAGATGCAACCGTGTCTGCCATTGAAGGCCTCTTCCAATTTTAAGCTTCCTTCGTTACTTGGTTTCTTTCTCTTTCTTTGGGTGGTTTGGTGATCAATTTCTCCTCGCATCCAACCTCTATGTAGCTACATTTTTCAAGTCTATTCACAAATAAAGGATTGGGTGATTCGAGGAAACGGGGTGTAAGTGAGACGTCTCGGATTTGAACCTTTTCACTTTCACTAAAAAAAAATTTAAAAATAATAAATAAATATCAAATAGCACAAAAAATTTAAAAATAATAAATAAAATTGCCAAATGGCACGAAACATGTTGTGGGACTGAGACCCCAAACCATACTGTAGCGGAATTGATATATAAGTATTATTAAATAATTTAAATTAATTATTTTGAACTCATGATCCCCCTCAAAAGTTATTGGGCAAAAAATCTGGATGTCCCTCGATTTATTTAGTTGAGCAATTTGTAGCACTCCAACAATTAAGTGCCTAATATTCCCCCTCCAACTTATAAAATGTTAAATTTCACCCCTTTTTACCCGGATTAGCCGGTTAAGCAGCTAGTATGAGCAACAAATGCCATCTGCGAATCCAATCCATTTGGATTAGTTATTTTTGGGAGTGTTTTTGAAAAATTTTATTGTAACAGTGTATACGAAAAATTTTTACTATAAATTTTTTTCATAATATTTGATATACTAATATGGATGAGATGTTTTTTGAATTATTGTGTATTATTGTAGCATTGTATTCGAAAAACTTGTTTTTAAAAAAATGGCCAATCCTTTTCCTTTATTCCGTAGAAAATGATTTCTTTACAGGTCGAGCAATCCACAGACCAACTTCTGTCACCAAGTCCAACCATCTTCTCCCTTCTTCAGCTCTTTTCTCAGCCATGTTTTTTTCTCACCTAACCAACATCAGGTGAACTCTTCTCGGAATCTGCTTTCTTTCCTTAACTTGTCTGAAATAAAAAAAATTAGGTTTTCAAGCCTGTCAACTGCTTGGTGGCCATAACATCTTCGACCATCGTCTAAACAATCTTTGCATAGTTAGGTCTAGTCCGTCAAGCTGTATATGAACATGGTGAGTGTTTTTCTTGCAGATAGGGTTTAAATCCCCACCTTCACAATCTAAATCCATACCCATATAGCCAAGTTGATCAAAAGGCCCACAACATTGATGGAGTTTGGTAGAAACTTTTTCAATAAAAAAATTAACCTTTTTATTTTGAGTGAAAATAGATGGTGCTAATTTGAATTTAAAATTTACATCAATATGAACGGTCTTAAAATTTCTGACACTTTTGTCATTCACTTTGATAAAATTTATTTTATAAGAGGAACAATTTTTTAAAAATTTTGTTAAGAAAATATTTTTGCCTTTCTAACACGTTGCGCTTCAAAGTAAATTAAAATATAATTTTAAAAAATAGTAGCGGATCAATAATTTTATTTGATTGAAATATAGTTTATTTTCATCCTCTTATTTCGTAGAGAGAATGCTTTTATCTCTTTTTATCATATAAGAGGAGATGACAAATTTTTAAAAATTGTGTTAAGAAAATATTTTTTTACCTTTTTGGCGCGTTGCACTTCAAAGTTGATTGAAATAAAATTTTTAAAAATACTAGCGGATCAATAACTAGGATGACGGCTATCAAACAATTTCAATTAATTAAAATTTGTAATTGACTTGTTAAACATCTCTTGTTATATGAACACTAAGTTTTTATATTGAAAAAAGTTTTTATCAGACTCGTATAGGCTTTATTGTTATCTTAATATGTACCAGGAGCCGTGGATTTCGACTCAGGGGTGAATTTAGCCCCATCCATCCTTTTTCTATATTTACCCACCAGAGGCTGCAATATAAGACTCTACATTTTGTTATTCCGTTGGTCCTAGGTTAGATAGCAATGTTTGAACACTATTCTTCCCTCTCACAATAAAGATGTGGGCTCCACATAAGGAATTCCGGAGTAGAGACAAGAACCAACCGTTCCTGAAGGTTCATGATCAAAATTTGATTAAAAAAAATATAAAATTCAAATTTCATCTTGTACATCATTTTTTCACATCATGTATAAAATTCCATTTTCATACTCGGCGGCGGACAAGATAGCAGGACGGCAAGGTCATGAGGGGGAATTTATTTGCATGAATGTTCAGGAACTTCCAGCTTCAATTCAGGCTGTGTTGGGATTAGAAACCATGGAATTTCCATTTTGTCGTACGCAGCATGTTAGAAATTAACGTTAACTTCAGCTTGTCCTGCCAGCTCCTTGTAGGCCCCAATGTTTTGAAAATCGGATCGGACCGGCCGGTTCGACCGGTTAAACTGCGAATCAGTCCTGGCACCGGTCCGGTTCACTGTCATAGTTGACTTTGTCAGAAAACCGGTCAAAAATCTGTCGAACCGTGAAAATCGCCGAACCGAATTGAACCGGTGGTTTCCGGTTTTCAACTTTCCTCCTTTTTTTTTTTTTTAAGGTTTTCAACTTTCCTCCTTTTTTTCTTGTTTTTTTAAGTTTTGCAAAATGCAGCTATCAATATTTGAACTCAAGACCTTTGTAATAGAAAATTAATATATTAACCATTGCACCATCATATCTTATTAGTTTTTTTTGATAACTTATTTATATAAAACAAACACTCATATTTTTTTTTTCCATTTTTCTTACAAAATCTTATCCTCTCATGGCTCTTTCTTTTTAATTTTCAACTCTCTCTCTCTCTCTCTCTCTCTCTCTCTCTCTCTCTCTCTCTCTCTCTCTCTTTATATATTTTCTTTTCTTTTGTCACTCCCTTTTTAATCAAACCTCTTTATTTTTAATTTACTGATGTTTTCTTCCATCTTTTAATTTTATTTTTGTCCATTAAATTGAAAAAAGTTAAAAAAGAATTATTTTTTTAACCCAAATTATTTAATGTCATAACCACTCACTTTTATCTCATTTTTTGTTTCTTATCAAGTTTACATTTCTATTTTCGATTTTCTTGACTTCCTTCGAACTCCAAACTTCCTTTTTTAAATTGCAATCTCTAAATCCCAAAACATAAATTAAAATTTAAGTTTACAATATCTAAATTCTCATAGACGTGAATTTTGTATAATTTCAAAATATTATGATATTTTTGGGTTGGATTTAGATATAATTGAAATTGAAATGAAATTTATTTGTTTTAACTTATAATTTAAAAATTTTATTTTTAAAAATCCAAGTTATTAAAAAATAGTAAACTTTTTATCATATAAAGTATTAAATTAGTCCATTACATGTCTTATTTTGTACATATATATATTTATATAAATTATTTTTTAAAAAATTTATTGAACCGAGATTGAACCGGTTGAACCTCGACCCTTTCATTTCACCGATTCAATTAACGGTTCGGTTTTTAAAACATTGGTAGGCCTTGACCACACGTGAATTCTGTAATTTTGCGTTGCTTAATAAAATGTTGGGCTAGCATCCCAATCCGAGTACGGGCATTGCTATTAAAAAAAATCACATAAATTAATTTTATAATTACAAGTTATTGAAAGTGAATTATATCGTGTGTATATAAAATTAGATCTCGTGTATTTTACACAAAATCACTCTGAACAATTTTCCTGATGGCTATTCGGCCCCTTGTCCATTATTCGCTGGTATTGCACTTCAATGTTGATTGAAATAAAATTTTGAAAAATACTAGCGAATCAATAACTAGGATGACGGGTATAAACAATTTCAATTAATTAAAATTTGTAATTGATTTGTTAAACATCTCTTGTTATATGAACACTAAGTTGTTATACTGAAAAAAGTTTTTATCAGACTCGTATAGGCTTTATTGTTATCTTAATATGTACCAGGAGCCGCGGATTTAGACTCAGGGGTGAATTTAGCCCCATCCATCCTTTTCTATATTTACCCCACTAGAGGCTGCAATATAAGACCAATGTTTTAAAAATCGGACCGTTAATTGAACCGGTGAAGTAAAAGGGTCGAAGTTCAACCGATCGGACCGGTTCAACCTCGGTTTAATGAATTTTTTAAAAAATAATTTATATAAATATATATATGCACAAAATAAGACATGTAATGGATAATTTAATACTTTATATGATGAAAAGTTTACTATTTTCGAATAATTTGGATTTTTAAAAATAAAATTTTAAAATTATAAGTTAAAACAAATAAATTTCATGTCAATTTTAATTATATCTACTAAAAAAATCTTAAATCCAATTCAAAAATATCACAATATTTTAAAATTATACAAAATTTACGTCTATGAGAATTTAGATATTGTGAACTTAAATTTTAATTTACGTTTTGGAATTTAGAGATTGCAATTTAAAAAAGAAAGTTTGGAATTCAAAGGAAGTTAAGAGAATCGAAAATAGAAATGCAAATTTGATAAAAAAAACAAAAAATGAGATAAAAGTGAGTGGTTGTGGCATTAAATAATTTGGGTTAAAGAAAAATAATTCTTTTTTAACTTTTTTAATTTAATGGACAAAAACAAAATTAAAAGATGGAAGAAAACATCAATAAATTAAAAATAAAGAGGTTTGATTAAAAAAGAGTGACAAAAGAAAAGATGATGGAGAGAGAGAGAGAGAGAGTTGAAAAAAAAAAAAAAAAAAAGAGTCATGAGAGGATGAGATTTTGTAAGAAAAATGGAACAAAAGAAATATGAGTATTTGTTTTATATACTTAAGTTATCAAAAAAAACTAATAAGACGTGATGGTGCAATGGTTACTACATTGGTCTTCTCTTACAAAGGTCTTGAGTTCGAATCTTGATAGCTTCATTTTGCAAAAAAAAAAAAAAAAAAAAAAACTTGAAAACCGGAAATCGCCGGTTCAAATCCGGTTCGGCGGTTTTTGCGGTTCAACCGGTTTTTGACCGGTTTTCTACCAAAGTCAACCCTAGCATTGAACCGGACCGGTACCATGGCCGGTTCGCGGTTCAACCGGTCGAACTGGCCGGTCCGGTCCAATTTTCAAAACACTGTATAAGACTCTACA